AGGTACACCCATAGGACATAGCTCATCCTCCATCAGCACAGAAAGAGGGAAGCAACCACCATAAGGCACCCTGTTGAGAATAGTCTCTCCAGTCAAACTATTACACCATGGCCTCAAAAGACTTCGGATATACTAAAATATGAAGAAAATTCCAAAAGCTCAGATGCTCTATCCCAGAAACCAATCAAAGACAGTCCTGAGAGTAAGCTTTTCTGTGGAATGTATGGGGCTTGGGTAAACCAAGTCTGTTCAATTGGTCATTTCATCTCTTTACTGTGGCAGCTTCTTTGAACATGTCCTTCACTTATCTCTCTCTTTCCCTTCCACAAAGTTGTCCCTTCCTTTTGCCTGGCATTCTAAATTCTAAAGAAAATTCCCACCTAAAGGTTAATAACTGCCAAATATTTCATTTGCAGAATTCAAACATATGGTGACCTCTGTTGTGTCCCTTTGAACCTTTAGTTCTGAGACTATGTTATCTAAAAATGATATAGGGCGCGTGATACAGGGATGATATATGGACCTCCAAGTAACTCCCAACTTGCTAGATACCTGGAATGCTGAGTTTGTGTTCTCTAAAACTGAGGAATGAATTATAGAGACAATGGATGTTAAAAATAGGAAGACTTTATTGAAAGAAAGAAAACTTCTGTCTAAGAGGGACAGAAGATGCTCCCAAGTAAGGGACCTACTGATCTTGCTTCTTGAAGGTGTTTTATTAAGCAAAGCTACAAGAGTAGGTGGATTCAACATGGGGCAAAATTATAGTCAACTCGTAACATTACAAGTGTAGTCACTTAGCTTTATATTGATCCAATAGGAAATCAAAAATTGTGTGTCAGATGAAACAAAACTATGGAGAACCAGTAAGATTACAATAAATATAGTAACCTAGATAATACTAATTACATGAGGATCAAATAGGGAAGCAAGTCACCTAGCAAGCTCACATCAAAGGAATAAAAGTTTTCCAGGAAGGAATGGGCTGGGAGGTTTTTGGTCCCCCACCCAAAATGATTGATGCCTATTTAGAATATCTGTCTCTGCTCTTCTTCCCCAGGGGAAGTATGTAGATATTGCCAGCCTTATTTTCTTCAATGAATGTGCTCAGTCTCCAATTGTCTTCTAAACTGAGAGCTCAGTCCTGTCTAACTAGTTATAATGTTTTTTACTAATTTAACTGTCCACAATAAAAAGAATAAGAGGAACCCTGAAACTGAGGTCCACTGTGATGGTCCACAGAGGAATAAAAGAGATAGATATCCTGCTCCTCCTTCATTTGCCATTATTGCTCTTTGTACCCCTAAACACAACCAAGATAGTCAAAACCCTCCATCTTCCAAGTTTCCAGCCATTGAGTAAACTCAATTCCTTTCCACCAACTTTCCAAAGGGTTGGCCTTTAAGTGGTGACCAGTTTGAATTTATCCCAGTAACATACCCATTATCACGTATATGACTTCATTGAACATAAGTAAAAGAAAAGAAACCCATGAGAAAATCTTATTGCACTGTTTCACAGATGAGAAGTCAATAGATAAGTCCTTTGTTCAAGTCAGTTCACCATTGTCTTCCACAGGACTCCGTGCTTCTGCCTGGTGGCACATACCACAGTAAGCATGTGATTCGTTGACCAATGCTTTCCTCCTCCATTACTTGAAAAGTCTCAGAGATAGTGGGTCATGGATATTTTCCCCTTCTGGTTATCTTTAGGCCCAGGATAGTATCTACTTGAAAAAATGTGATTAATTTATACGGTATATATGACCTCTTGATATGAATTTGTACTCTATACTTTTGAACCCTATACTACTGTAATTTCTCTGATATCACTGTGTGCAAATAAAATAAAAAATACAAACACAAATCCTGAACACAAGTGTGCCTGTCCTACTTACTTCTTAAGAGTTTTTATGAGACCCTGGACTAATACCCAGAGCTGAAAGGGAACTTCGAGATTATAAACTTTTTACTTTACATAAGAAAAAATAACTTTGTACCAATGTTTTGTTAAACATAACGAGAGATAATAATCACAGTTTTCTTATCAGTAGAATTCTAATATGGAGTCAATCATATTTTTTTTTTTTTTTTTGCAAAATAATGCACTCATTTTATGTTATTCTGCTGGCTAAGGAATTAGAATATACAATGTAACCAGCACCTCTAATTTAGTTCTTTACAAATCTTTTTAACATTCAGTTTCATATATCACAGTCTTTAAAACAATGTACACATATGGCTGCCTATTTGCCTGCTTTGAATGCCATGTGTTACGATGTGCATCTGAACCCCGTGGGGATTTTGCTAACATGCACATTCTGATCCAGTTGTCTAAATAAGCGACCAGTGATGCCAGCAGTCCTAGTCATGGATTCTACTGGAAGGAAAGTCAAAAGCCATATAAATTATTCTATCTCCCTCGTCATCATCTCTTCTACTATTACCTTGTTATCACAAAACTATTCAAACAGATGTCTCTGTTCTCTGCCAGTCCCCAATGAACATACTTTAAGCAAGAACAACAACAAAAAAATCTAAACTATTTACTTCAAAGTGACTGACAGATGTCATAAACAGGACAGTCATCCTGAGAAATTAACTGTCAGCGTGGATAAACAGTCTGTTGATAAAACAGCACCTTCTACTTAAAATTTGCTTTTTATGCTAATATTTTTAAGTGATTCTTTTTTCTTGATAAAAGATGGGATCTTGCAGTACTTATTTGAAAAAAAAAAAGTGGGAGAAAAACCTCCTCCAAGAATTCAGACCCCCCTCTGGGCAGAGTTAAGTTGCAGGAAATGGACACCCTTTAGAACTTAACATCTCATTGACTGAGTATGAAATAACAATTTGTGCCTTCATTATCTCATTTCCTGAGGCTATGCAGCAGGGTTTTCAGATGACAATGAACAAAACTCAACTTCAGTGAAGATGCACTCATGACTTATCAATGGTTTTGCTATTGCTGTTGGATTTTCTTAGTCCCCTGAATCAACAAAGAAAGCTCATTTGTTTCACTTTGGGAGGAAAAAAAAAAAAAAACTCTTCATTTTCCCCAGACTTTCCATTTCACGCTGGGTGAATTTTATTAAGATGGCTTTCAGAGAAACTAAATGCTGGCTGGATGAGACCCTGGGGATGCAGTCGAAGCAGCCTCAATAGGCTTTCCTTTTCCACTGAAAACTCCTTGGAGAACCATAGAGAAGAATCCGAAATCTTTTTGGTACTTGAAGAAATAGTTTGACCTCTTGAATATTATCATGTAACTTGCCAAGCATCTGAAGGTTATCACATGAAAACCAACAGAATAGTAGTAATCCAGCTAATATCTGTGTTGGTTACTTTTCTCTCATTGCTGAGACAGAAAACCTGATGCCCAAAATGAAGGAAGTAAAGGTTTATTTATCTTACAGTTTCTTTGAGGTTTTAGTCTATACTCAGCTGGCTTCAAGGCAGTGTGGTGTGGCCTAGGGGCAACTTTTCATTGAAGCTGCAAACAGCAAGAGCCAAAGAACAAAAGAGAGAAAGTAGGCCTCCTGGGCTCTTACATCGTGTGCTGGCTCCACCTGGGAGAAAGCAGTCCCCACTCCACCAATCCCAGTGCTAGAAAATGAACCAATCACAAATGCTAGAGTCAGCCACACCCGTGATTGTATGAGGCTTGGGGGAGGGGGCATCCTAACGGAAAGTCTTTCCAAAGGCCTTCAATTATATCTAAAAAAGACTTAAAAAGTATCAGCTTCAATATTTTTCATTTTAGAATTTGTTGATAAAACTGATCTGCAGCCGGGCGTGGTGGCTCAGGCCTGTAACCCCAGCACTTTGGAGACTGAGGTAGGAGGATCCTTGTGAGTTGGAGACCAGCCTGGGCTACAAAGTGAGCTCAAGGCCAGCCTGAACTGCATAGCGAGGCCCTGTCTCAAAACAACAACAACAACAACAACAACAACAACAACAACAACAACAACAAAAACTGATCTGCAATCCCACTGATTGACAACATGTCAGTGAGCTTTTTCTTGTAAACACTCATGTCTTCAGAAGTGACACAGAAGTCACTGCATAACAACCCTGCTGTAGTATAATATCATAGCAACATAATATTCTGTACTGTAATAGCAAATGAAAACAATATCTAGACATTTCTGTGTTAGATATTTAATTATTTCCATACTTTCTTATGTTTCTTTTATGGTGAAAATAGTAATAACAAATCGTTTTGTTATGTGAGAACTGTAAAAACACTAAATATTTTGTGTGTCAACTCTTTTAACCTTCATATCGATCTTCAAATGGTCCTATTATTTCTATTCTAGATATATGGAAAGTAAGAATAGATAGGTTGAACAAGTTGCCCAAATTCACATTACTGATAATTGTCAGAGAAAATATTCAAACCAGAGGTCCTCATATCCAAATAGAGTTTCTTTTGAACCATGCAGTTCCCTTGACTATACCAAGACTTGCTTAAGAATTACTTGGTTCAATAAAAGACTCAGTGTATGTATGCAAATCTATAAATTAAAAATAATGTGAAACTAAGAATATAAAAGATATATAGTCTTTTACTGTGTTCCACTGAGCGTACTATTTCAGATTTTTCTTGAATCCTTTAAATTTCAAGAGCTTTCAACCCTTGATAGTGCTTTTATAATGAAAAATCCTTGAAGAACACTGCTATTAGGCTATACTCCCTTAATGATGAGAAAAGCATTCAGTTATCTAAATCTTAAAAGGAACTTACCTGTTCTTTTTACATTGTGGTGAACGCTTTCTCTTTAAAAACCAAACTGTACATGAATTTTCACCCTTTTGAATTCCATTCTCATGTGCCATTTATTGATACAGTCTTTCATTGGTTTGGGTCAAGGATGCATCTGCTTTGCTAACTTCTGCAGAAGCAAGGATGACTAAGGGTGAGGGCATCTTTTATGTGAAGAACTGTTATGCATTGGAACACATAAAGACCCATCTCTTTCCCTATCTCTGTTCTCACAGAATGTGTGACACAGGAGAAGGACTGTTCACTTTTCAAACAAGGGAAGGAGAAATGATCTATCAGAAGGTCCATTCTGCAACTCTGGCTATAGCTGAGCAACATGAAAGATTAATGCTAGAAATGGAACAGAAGGCCCGGGTAAGGTTCTTCCTTGGTAAACTAACAGCTCAGAAATGAATGTCCCTGAGGTCTGATGCGCTTCATGTTGATGTGGGTCCGTACCACCTCCTTGTCCTCCCAGCCCTGGTCTTATAGGATCACCACAGTCATGATGCCTGTGAGACCCAGCCTCTCGTCTCTGCAGTGTCCTACTCAGTGTTACCTGTGCCACTGCCTGGGACCTGCTCTCTGTGTTTGCATATATATGGTTCGTTTTCTTGGTTACCCCAAAGAGGAGTAGCGTGCCTAAAGCAAGAAATAAGAGCAATTCTGTCTGCATATCTCTGCAGATGAGTGCATAAAATTCCAAGGTGGGGCAAAAATGACTAGGAAAATTAAGATTCTACAAGAAAAGATTTCAGTTTCCATCGTCTTTATCCTAGGCACTGTGAAATATTTAGACTTTTCTGTACGTAGTTCAGTGACAATAAGAAAATGTCTGCAGAAGGAGATTATACTACCTACCAACAGAGTAATTTATCTAGAATACTGTTCTGTAACTGCACTGCAGTTTCAGGGTCAATAAGAAATAATTTAGGAAAGAATCTGAAGTGGGGAAATAGTAAGTTTAATGAAATATAAATTTTACTACTTTGATAAGTAATGAATGAAATGATCGTTGACTGTTACCTTTAGAGATGATATCCTTTCCACAGGGGTTATAGAGCTGTATCAGATTTCATCTGTAAGAAGACTGGTAGTACTTTGGGAACATCCTTGTTCTTTTCAAGATATATCAATGTCTATTCAAGTATAAAATGATACACTTTTTCCATTTAGTTTCATGTTGTTTTACATTTTCATCTTAAAATATTATTAAAGTATACTCTTAAACTCATTTTTTATTTTCCCATACTACACATATATTTTATTTTTACATCTAGATAGGATTAACAGAGCCATTCTAATACCTGAGGAGGTCAAGGGCAAATCCATGAGATATTTGCTCCTCCATGAGAATGGTGAACAGCGACAGCATTAGGAGATTATCAATGCGTGACTGTGAGAATGGTTGCAGAATTATCAAAGGGGGCTCATAAAATGTAATCTTTTGAAAGATTTATGTTAAATTAAAACCCTTGGACAATGATCTAATTAATATGGCATTTTATGTGGTGGTTTAAATCAAGTGAAAAAATATAAGGACCAAATTTCAAATTGTTGAGTTCCTTCAACATCTGTTACCAGTCATATTTATGATGTGCTGATGCCATAGTTTCAGAGAAAATTAAGATTGGGATGTCATTCGCTGTTACTTAACAATTAAAGTTCTTTTCCTGTAGTTGTTCTAAGTGATATATTTTCATATAAGTGGAGTGATTTAAATGATATTTTGTGAAAGAATTGCCAAGTGCTCTTTTACACATCTGCAACTGTCTATGGTTCCTTCTCTCTCTCCTGCACTGCTGCTCTTGGCTCTATAATCCTGGGCAAGTCCTTAAACTGTAAATCTCTCATTTTCTTTTGCCTGTAGCATTGGGGATATTATAGTTGTAGCAATATGACTATTATGAAGTCTCTGTGCATTAGTCTATATAAAGTGCTAAATACTCCCAAATCCAGAGAAAGTCCTATGAGAATATTGATTCTTTTGATGGTGACTTAGGAATGATTTTTAAATAATTATAAGATCTACAAAATCCTGAAGGGTAAACTGTTATTTCCAGATGTGGTAGCATCATGTCTTTTCATCCTTTCAGGTATGTCTAACAACCTTGTGTTAGACATTTTTGAAAATTTTTGAAGAACAGAATGTAATTTGTTATGAGCATCATGACCAGGGCCCGTGAGAAGCAACTCTGGGAAGCAGAGTCCAGGAGTTGCTATTGAAAGCTTTGCAATGGCAGTTCACTCACTAAGATTTGGAACAGTCTAGAACTGGAGTGTGAACCCCACATGTGGGACAAGCAGTCAGATAAAGGGGGAAATAGCAGATATTGAAACAGTAGCCGCAGTGAGGCTCAACAAAGAAACTACATATTTCTTTAAATCTCAGAATCAGAGACAGCATCACTTTATGCATATGTGTAAATAGAGTGTTTTAATTTCACAACTGTGGTTCTCTCTGAAGATTTTAATGCTAGTTTAAAAAAAAAATTCACTTCATAGCCAATTCTTTCTTCAGAACAAGGCGAATCTGAGAGCAGGCTACCTCAATTTGATAACAACCCAAGTGCCCAAAATTTTAGCATCTTGAACATAGGTTCCCAGATCTCCAAGACAAAGGTTTTTTTTCTTTTAAAACACTTCCTCTACATCATGAAACTCCCAAAAAAGAAAAGACATTACAACAACCAAGAAAATTAAACACCATCTGATTCTTTATTTACTATTTAAAATAATATATATAATTTTATAATATATTATTATATAATAATATATACATATAAGATTTTAAGAGATCATTTTTAGAATCAGCAGAGTTCTTTGAATTCCTTTACCAAGACTACTATGCTGTACTTGTGGAACACCACCAAGGGAAGACAACTTTTGTTATGATGGAAGCCATTCTTCAGCAAATCACCTGGGCCCCAGGTGATGTAGCCTACTGAAGTTCAATAAGAGCAAGGTTATCACAGACAACAAACGTATCTGATGCCTCAAAATAATTTTATTTTGTATATTTGAGAGTATACTGTGCACACACACATAAACAATATATGAAATAAACATTTCATATTTTTCTCTGTTTGACAAGGGTTGTACAATGCCCACAGGTGAAACAACAAAGCTGTGAGGACCTGAATGAAAGGGAGAAAAAAGATTTTTTTTCTGACACTTAAATATAAAGAAGAGAGGATTGGAATTATAAGTTTCCTAAAAGCGTATTTGTAGATCACCTTATATAATAAGAATTACATCTTATCTTTTTTAAATTATGATGCTTTATTCTGCTGAAATTCCTTTCTTCTAGTCACCAGAATTGCCCTGCCAACAGTTTAAAGACAAATAGCATCAGTACTATTGAAGTATCAGCAAGATGGCAAGGCTGCATTGAATGCCTTAGAACCTCTCATAAGATGCATGAGTCAAATGGGTTACTGTCCAGAGCTGTAAATCCTGTGAATGTTTTGAATACTGGTGGGCGGGAAAAGGAACATCATAATCTGGCATAACACATTACCCCTTGTAAACAAATAAGTATATTATTGTTATTATTTGCCAAGTTATATACATTAGTTTTTGTTATTAGAAATATGGATGATAATAGCAAGTCATAGTCATGTATTTAATCAACTAAAAAATCTTACTGTGTCAATAGCCACAAACATTTTGAACAATAATTGCTTTTAATTAAGTCATAATCTTTTATAATGTAATATTAAAAAAACATTTCTGATGAGGCAATAGCATTTTTTCACTCTGCCAGTTATCCACTAGTATGTAGAAATGTATCAAAGAAACTTACATCGTGGAGGAAGACAAAAAAGCAGAGTAGTTCAGAGAAAAAAAAAAAAAACTCCAACTTTGTGTTCATGTAACTTATGAACAAAAAGCACCAGCTTTATGTACAGTTAATTCACATAGTGATTAGAAGTTAGATTTGCCCTACACCAATTATGCTTTACCACAGGATTTACTCAAAATTGATTAATATCATCTTATGAAATGATGTTTTGTCTAAATAGTTGGATAAATTTAAAACTGTTGCCAGATTGCATTAATTCCAAAATGTACACTTTTTTTCACATTTCAGTATTTCTAAAATCAAATGTGAGTTACAGTTTACTCAGCAGCACTATTTATATCATAGCACTATGTAAAATAATATTAGTTCTTATAATGGGTGGCCCCTTGCTATGTATAAAATATACTAATTTTTTTATAATCATACACTTACTTGTGATTTTTGAAAGAATTAAAAAAAACCTTCTAGGTGAGTTCTACTCTAAAATAGTTTGGCTTCCACTTCAGGATTCCATTCAAACATTCTTCTTACCCAAAATTTATAGGAATTTCTTATCATCTATTAGAAAATAATAATTAGTTATTCTACACTAAAAGTATAAAGAACTTGGAATCATACTCTGATGAGCAGTACATAAAAATTTTTAAAACATTCTTTTGAACATGTTTATATATGTTAAGAAATTCTAGGAAAAGTGTTTTTTGATTGTAAGTGACATATATAATAACTGCAAATAAGATTTGCATTTAAGATTCTAATGCTTCTGTCACAGCATGGAGGAAGAACACCAAGCTCCACCCCGGCTTTGGCTGCTGGGCATACCTACACCCTGCAGTGCCCCTCGCCACTTCCGCCACGCAGAGGAAGTTGCTGAGCTCTGCCCCGGCTCAGGCAGCTAAGCTGAGCCTACAAACCGGCACACTCCTCCCATGTGCTGACCCAGACGATTGCTGTACCCACCCTGGCTCAACTCGCTTCCCTCAGCTACCCTCCCCATCTTTTAGACAACAAGCACTGCTATGAACCTTTGGCCTCCACTCTCCCTGCCAGAACTCTGAACTGCAGCGGACTGGCAGTGCTAGTTTGATAGAAGATTTGGTGGTCCCTCAGCCAGACGAGGACCTCGGCAGGTTCCGGTCACTATGTAACCAACAGTCGGGCAGACATCAACCATGCAGTAGGACCTAGGAGATACACTGCCAACAGCGGTGACTATTGGGATAAATATTGACCTAGAAAGTGAAAATGACAAAATGAAAAATCAAAATGCAATCTCAAACATCTAGTACATCAGGTGCAAGAACAGGTGACAGCGAAATAGAGGACTTTAAAATTCATACACCAGAAATCTCTGAAAAGATATCAAATGAAGTAAAAAAACAATTCCATGAGGCTATAGAGGAAATCAAATTAGAAGTAATATCTTACATAAAGACAGAAATAACAACCTTAGTAAAGGGTTTGCTCAATGTAGCTAGGGAAGAAATAGATGAAAATATATAGGAGCATGTGAAATTCATTGAAACTTTGAATTAACAATGTAGAAAACAAGCAGAATCCATGAAACAAA